ATCGTTTCTGTATCTGGACCTGATACAGACCATGAGATACTAGATTTTGACCATGACACAGTAATGTGGCTAACACGTTGAGTATATTTTGCATCTAAGAGGAACGTGAATTGTGACCAGAGAAAGGGCTTTAGGAGACTATTTCCAAAAAGGGCCACCAACACCCCTCTAACCTCCATGTCCTATTGAAATGTGACTTTGCTGCTCAGCTCACTGGGAGGCAGAGTTCATTGCTCCCCTTCCTTAATTTGGGCTGGCCCTGTGACTTGTTTTGCCCAACAGAATGCTGTTTCTCTCAAGTTTAGGCATTTAGCAGCTTTGCAGTTTTTTTTGTTTTGTTTTGCTTTAATCCTCTTGTTAGCAAGCCACTGTGAAGAGAAGTGTGATTTTCTTAGAAAGACTATTCAGAGAGAGGGCCAGCCAGGCTCCGGCAGTTCTAGCATTCCTTGCTGAGGCAACAGATAAGTGAGTGAGGTCACCTTGAATCCTCCAGACCCAAACAGGCCCCCCCTCCAGTTGTCCCCAGGTGGATCAGAGACGAGCTGTACCTGATGAACCTTACTCTGATTGCAGAACCCTAGGGAAAGAAACGGCTGTATTTTTTAAGCCACTAGGGTTTGAGGTGGTTTGTTACACAGCAAAAAATGACTAAAGGAACACTTGATTGATCAGTGATTCTGAGCTAGTCCAAGGGGCTGGATGTGATGATACGGTCATGCAGAAGAATTAAAGCAGCACTCCAAGCAATGAAAAGGCACTACATAACTAAACAGACCTTGGTACTAGTTCTGGCTTCCTTCTTACCTGCCGTGTGAACTTAGGCAGACCACTTAATATCTGTGGATCTCCTTTACAAAACGAGAGTAACGATAGCTATCTCACAGGGCTGTTCTGAAGACTACCAAATAAATGACCAAAAAGCATGTTTAAAAACTACTGAGAACCACTCCGAAAGCATGCATGCTCCTCTGGTAACTGGGAAGCACGCTCTTTCCGAAGGCACTTCAGAGACCAACTTGTCTACTTCATGTAAGCTTACTCTCTTCCCACTGATAGATTTCTGTTAATTAGCTTCCCTTTAAGCAAACAGTCCAAGTAGTTTAAGGTTTCCTAAATGAAAAACAGTGTGGAAAGACACCAAATACTATCAAAGAAATGGCAAGATGAATATTATAACAGGCATTTTGTGTCCGTAAATGTGATTTCTGGTTTATTTTAACAGCTATACTAAAACCCCACGGTACAGTTAATAGTGTTATATGCGTTCTGTCAATAATAAGAAAATATCCTCAAACACAATTTCTAATTTACAAGCTTATGACAAGTTCAAGCTGCTGAGAAATTGGACTTGAAAGTATGTCTTAGAGTGATAGAAGACCACTATTAACACTATCATAATTGTATACCTATTGCATCAAATCTGACATTTCAGTTTAATATATTTTGTTGAGAGAGCATACCATTTTATGGCTTCCTAGTGAAATCAAATCCAACCCAGACGTTTTCACTTTTCTAATATAATTCACTGCAAGGTTTTAAAGCTGCCATTTCTTTTCTTCCTTTTTTTCAAAAGATTGATGCCCTGGCATTCGTTAATTCCACAAGAGCTCATAATGGGTCAATGAGTCAGTGGCGAGCACCTCCATTAACTGTATTAATTTACACTATGTCACCTTAATGACATTTTGTCACAGCTACCTTTCCTGACATCTACATAGCTATTCAAAAGTAATATAACAACTTTTGAAGGCATTAAGGAATTGTAGTGTGAGAACTCCAGTGAGTTGAATGTCATTGTTACCAAGACTACACTAGAGGAGAGAAATAAAAAAGAAAATAAAAATAAAGTAAAAAACTAACAAGTCTGACTTAACTCAGGGGACCTGGCTCCCGAAGGTCACTTCACCAACACTCCATCTCTGCCCAGCTTGTATGCATTACCACAGGAAGAGACTGATGTTAATAAAGACAGACCGAATGAAACCAACCACTCCATTCTAGTTCTTTCTTATATGATTATCTAAGCTAGGAGATATTGCAGACATACTTTTCTTCATAAATGGAAACTCATTTCCTTAAAATTATATCCAATGCTTTATTTAACAGTTTAGAGATAAGAAATCAAAAGCTTAGGTTTTAACACATGGTTAGCAAAACTATTATTATTCTTGGTAACATATTCTTCCCTGCTAAATCAAGTATTATTTCAGACGGAAAAAAATATCATGTGTTTTAATCAATATATTTAAATGTGAATTTAGAAAGTCTCATTTTACTACCAGTATTACCAAAAAACCTCTTTAACATTTCCTTAATGAGAACCCTCAAATTCTGATGCCATACATGGAAAGACAGACACATTTGGACACACAGACACACACAAAATAGAGGAAAGAAGACTGAGAAACCATACTTGTAATGCAGTTTGATGCGATTTCAAAGATCTTTTTCAAATCAATAAGAAAAAGATATCTGACCCAACTAAAAAATGGGAAAAGATATGACTAAGTTTAGGTGTCAATTATTGAAATACGAAACATGAAAAATGCTCAACTTCACTCACAATTAATGACATGCAAGCCCCAACAAAGACAACTCCATTTTCACTCACCAGATTAGCAAAAATTCCACTATTTATTATAATAATGATGAGGGGGGGCGTGGGGAAGGAAGCATCTTCACACATGCTCTAGGGAGTGAATTATCATCTTTGGGAATAATGGTTTGGCAATATCTTTCCAAATTAAAAATGTATATAGACATTTAGCCATTAATAGAAATTATCCTTTACACGTATACGCAAAGTTCATCAAGATCACGTGCAAGGGTGTTCACTGCAGCCTTGTGTTGAACAGGAACAATCGCAGAGAAAGACAAACTACCCATAAACAGGAGATTGTCTACATAAATTATCGTGTATGCGCGCAGTGTGCAGCCTTGAAAAAGAATGGGTCTACATGGAAAGATATTCACGATATGTTATCATAAAATATGAAAGAGAACTGAAAATGGGGGGAAAAATCCCTGCAATGTCAAGCTGGGGAAATGAGCTTCTTATGAACGAATTAAGTTCGGGCGTGGGGGAATAAGTCTTGTTTGTATTTGGCACAGCTGCTTGAGGATAAAAAATAAAAAAACCTCCCCATTTAGCAACAGCCACATTGGTCTTTGTCCTTGATGATGTGACCCCCAGGAACCAAAGGAACACAACTGGTAACAACACGCAAGCGTTTCTTGAAAGTACCAGAACAGGAAAACTCTGGGAGAAATCCTAGCAGTTGTAGAGGGAAAAGCCTGATAGGAACATTGATCATCGGAGACTAACCTGTACCTTGGTGAGATATTTTTGGTGAAGAGAAGCATCAATAAAGTTCTCAGTATAGAAAGTAAAGTGTAACATTGTATCTACTCATGTAAATTAGAATGATTAACTCTGATCTGTGTGTGGGTTTGTGAGGGTAGGTCTTTGAATTAAGCTGAAAAGCCCATTTTCTTTTTTGTGATGATGTCTGATAAGAGTGAGCAGGCATTTTCACTTGATATAATTTGGTACAATGTGGATACTGCTCTGAATTAAGATATGAATAACCTTAAATATGACAGGAAGACTTAAAATATAGATAATAATATTTAATTCAAACACAAAACACTTATTGAGTGCTTTTTATGAACATTAGGCTAATTCTAGAAGCTTCTGGACTCCTCATTTTCTGCGTAAATTCTGAGTGTGTTACAAAAGAAGAAACGGATTCTCTCCCTGATTTCACTGGGAAGGAGTCAGTTTAAATGACGGTTCGTGGATGCTTTAGAGTTTAATTCCTCAGCGAAGTTATAAGGCTGCTGGGAGAAAACTGTATGCCTTCAGAGTTTAGTATAGTAAGGATGCATGTTAAATTATCTTATTGTCAAATATGAATATGTTATATGCACAAATTAATATTCATTTATGCAAACTTTGATAGTAATCGGACAAAATACATGAAGAAGCGACACGGATCAATTTTGTTTGTTTTCTGCTTTCAAAAAGAACTGAACAAAGTTGTATTCAACCAGTTTTCTTACACTTCAGTAACACTGTGATTGCCTTTAAAAATGTTTGCAATAGATAAACACAAATATGAAAATGATAATTTTGACTTCAATTCACTGCCTTTTGTTGGATTAAGACCCTAAATGGAGTAACTCCATAATATTTTTATATTTAACAATATGAATGGCAATGATAGGGAAAAAACTACCTTGAAGAAAGAGGCTTTAGGAACACATATACGTGGTGTAATAACCTGATCAGATCTAAGTATCAGAGAATAAATGAGAAAAATGAGAGAACAAATGTATGTTATTGTTTTGAATAGAACCTTTTTTAAGAAACAAAATCCCATATAAACGAATAACAAATATTAGTATTTAACAATAGTTAAATAGTACCAACTGTAAAATTACTCTGCTCTCTGGCTGTTCCTGGGTATTGTGTGTGTGTTGGTTTAATCTAATGTGTATTGTTGCATGGTATCCCCAGGCACAGTCAAGTAAAAGCTAAGGCCGTACAGAAAAGCCTACATTTTAAATGGGTCTTGTCATTAATGCTTTATTAATTGCCCCAGGCTACGTAAACCCAAAGCTGTGCAAGCTATAACAATATGACACATTAAGGTCAAATCCAATTCCTGCTGTGTTTTATGGAATGGGCCAAATATTGAGTTAACAGCAGGAAAGGCAATTTATGGCCTTTTCTTTCCATCTCCAGATTATTCGATCTAAATTAGATAGGAATTTTTTGAAATTACGAAAACACCTTAACTGAATAATATAAATGAATTCTGAATCATTTTCTGTGATGCTCAAAATTATTTCCGCTAGTTTCCTTTTAGGTTAGATGTACCACATGCTTTTAAAATACAATGGAACAAAACTGTCTTATACATCCAATTAAATTTTTAAAAATCAATATTTCTGCATATTTTGAAATTAAATTACTATCAATGAATAAAAGAACCCACCTTTACATCAGAAGTATCTCTCTGACTAGTTCTCCAAGATCTTGCAACCGACGAGAAGGTTCGATCTGGATGGTCAAACTTTCCATCATTTGCATTGAGGAAGAAGGTTGTGAAAGGTTCCTAAGAGAAAAGAGGAAGAAGAATCAGGAATTTGATCCTCCTGAAGGCAGCTGCCTTGTTCCACTGTAAAATATGATGGTCTTTGAAACCCCTGTGAGGTAGAAACAGTGCAGGGTCCTGGAAAGACGCCTATGTTGAAGAGTCAGGGGGTGGCTGACTGGGCCCGAATGGGCTACTGAGGGCCATTTTGCTTCTTGGGCTTTCATCTTCTGATCCGTACGATGATGGCGTTCTAGTGCTCTAATGATTTAATGATGAATGATTTTGAATTATTATCAGTTTGTAAGTCAGATGTTCTTTCTCATAACTAAGGCCATACATAATGTATTAATACCGCTGAAGAATATCACTCTGGCACTGATTACTGCACTGTGGAATTGGGTAGGGAATGGCCATCTTCTATTACCTATGAAAATCTATTAAAAGTACATGTACCATATCATGGTCTGATGATCTTTTTAAAATGCAAAGTTCTGTTGAAAATCTTTCAGTAGCTCTTCAGAGCTCTTCAGAGAAATTCTAAATCACTCAACTTGTCTTAAAAGATCCTGAATGATCTGGAAACTTACCTGTCACCTTCCCTTCTCCACATTCACAGGTCGTGACACACTGCTCTCACTTTCTCTCCTTTGTAGGGGATGTTCCCTCTGCCTGGTACCAATTTATCCCTTCCCTTCACCATCCTTGCTTGGCTAAGTTCTTTCTATCCTTTATGTCTCAGCCAGAACTATCCTTTATGCCCCAGCCAAGATGTCACTTTTCTCCTGAAAGATTTTCCTTGATTTGCCAAGCTTTCCAGTATGTTCAAATACAACCTATATTTTCTAAATATGTCACTAAAACACTTGTCACACTGTTTTGTAAGTGATTTGTAACTTGTCTATCTCTCCCCACCCCCCACAGAAACCTGTCATGCTCCCTGTTTTATCTCCAACACTTAGAACAATACCTGGTACACAGAAGTTGCTCCATGTATAATTTGGTGAAGAAATGAATGAAATAAAGTGAAATGCAAATAGGACTAGATAACTCTAGTCCTTTCGGTACTCTGTCACTGTCACCTCATAGAAACACAGTATCTGCCACCCAGTGCATGCCCATAGCAGGAAACCTAAGAATAACAATCACATGGTTCTAATGCACTTAGTTTTAATGCTTTCTGTATACTTTGTATGTTGGGAGAGAGGCATTATTTCTGATGCCATTAAGTTCACTTCTGAATAACATTTATTCTTACCAAGGATCTCTTAACTACAAGTATAACACAGATAAATATCTATATTCTTTTCCATGATTTCATTCTTTCTTAAGTCTAGGATGAATGACATGTCATCCCCTAGGTTCAATAACGCTAAGACATCTACATGATGTTTTCCTGAACAGTTACATTTCTTCAGTATATAATCCCTATGATTCTTTTATACCTATAAAACATCACTGGGCCCCTTCAAACTTTTCTTGTTGTCATTGGCTGTAAGGGCCAGCTGCCGGCCAACAGGCACAACCATTCATCTTCCTCAGTCTCTTCCTGAAATTTAGTGTGGCTGGACATCATCAGTGTTATAAGTTTGTAATAGATCACCAATTTTTTATGTTCACTATCAGATGACAGTAAGGTGTGATTAAAGAGATAGGATGAAGAATGATATAACAATATATTGAGAAGGTCTGTATTACTGATTCTCCTGAAAATCAGATCTGCATCCAGGAAGCCCATATTGCTGTCTAAGATTTTAAGTGATATGAAAGACAAATAGATGTCACTGAAATTAAGTTAGGAAGAAAAATCTTATGAGATGTCCTTCACTAATCAATTTGCTTTGCAGATTTTTTAGCTAACTAATAAACATTAGGTAATTAATGCGGCATATCCTGGCACAAAGTTCAAGTGGGGGTAAAAACCATGCTAGAAGTAGCAAATGGCAAACTGAATGAAATAGGACAGATGTAAATTGGAATCTTGGTGGAACAAACCATTAACTTCTTTTAGGCAAGTTATTTAACCTTAAGTTTCGTGTTAAGTAACTGCTTCAGGTCCTTCATCTATGTTAATTGGGAAGGACAACACCTAGGGGATAATTATGGGCATTAAAGACAATTAAACAATATTGAGAAAGCTTGAAGTGTCTCACCTGACACAGTTATAAAAATGACTATAGGTTTATGTACTGTGTCAAGTCTCCACTGCTGGGCTGGGCTTCACGCCAGACTGACAACCTGGCCAGATGCGTGCTGCCTTAGGTCCTATCCATGTCTGTATCCTTAGCACCAAGTACCCGGCTTGGCTCATAGTCAGTGTTTAATAAAGGTTTCTCGAATGCACCTCAACATACAATTAATGTTGGGAGATTAGGTATGCCTGGGTAAGAGTAAGATAGTTTTGGTCAGTTCTTAACTACTTGTTTGACCAAAACGGTATAACTTCAGAATCCACTTCTTCATTGCTCTAGGATGCCGATATTGGGTGTTTTTTGTTTTTTTTTTTTTCTCTTTCTCTCTGCAGGTGTAGCCAGAGATTAATTTAGAAGAATGGCACTTGTCTCTACAATTTTTAACCTATTATACAGATCTGAGTGAAGACCCATTTATACATGCAAAGCCTTACTTTTTTTTTTTTTATCATCAGCCAGTAAAAACTGATCTATCTCTATCCTGACCTAAATTATAAAATCCTTCCTGGTTTTCAACCTTAACAGAGGCATGCCAAAAATAGCACAGGTGCGCATAGTACAAAGAAATCTGGAATTAAAGAATTATTTTTCCTTCTGTTCATTAAGTTTATGAAACTGGTGGCACCCAAAGGTGGAGAAGATGGAAGAATTCCACATTTCACAGTTTTAAGTAGCTTTTAAAAAGATCTGATTAACAACTGTTTTAGGGTCACATACTACATTACTGACATATATTCTCATTATTCCTGAAGGCCTCCAGCTGCGACAGTGGTAGAATACGAATGGAAATTGATAACCTATTTGTTTCTAAGTGAGTATTGATCTTTCAAGCTCTGATTACCGTAGAGATTACCTTTTTCCATGTGTCTCCTTATTACTTTCAAGGCACAGTGGAAGGCTTTTCTTTTTTCATTTGACTCACGCCTCACTAACAGAGACGATTAAGTGCTATATTACGCTTAAGAAACTTCTGTATTTTTTTACTTAACATATGCTGATTGAACTATTTTCTGTGTGTACATTAGCATATTAGATAATTTATCATTCTACCAGAAAAGCTTTTGGTTTGCAAGATGTACAAATGAAAAAATATTAAGCAGAAATTTCAGAAATTAAAATGTGGGCATTTGTTGGATTTTACGAGCTTCCTGTTAGGTCCTGTCATATGAATGGCTGATGGACCTCCTTCTTCTAATTACATCTACCCTAAGGTCTCTTTGTATCTTCCAACCCTGTCTTAGTACTAGAAAACCCAACCAACCAGACCTGCACTGGGTAGTTGTATCTGTCCTACTGCATTCTATCAGAACCTTATCCCCTGTGAGGACACTAACAACTTTTCTTGCCTTTCAATGATTACAGACCCATGAACTCTATCTTGGGCAATCTAATCTTCTTCCCTGCCCCTCTTCTCTTCACTCAATTCCTCTATTCTTCTGTCTTCTATATTTGCAGAGCATTCTCATAAGAATCTTTTAAGTCCCTCTCTGCTATGCTTTTCTTCTTTGCCTTCCTTTATTTGGGGGAAATAGGTAGTGCAGGTAGTGCTTGGAACACAATTCTACCAAAGAAAGGTGTGTATCTTGGAGTGACATGAAGCGTAATAAAGATCAAAGGGAAGGGAACAAAGACGACTGGGCACATTTTCTGTGCTCAGCCCTGTATTATTTCATTTAACTCATCCTTGTGATTACCCTTCAGAGTAGGTATAATTATTTCTGTTTAACATATGAGAAAATTCAGGGTCATATTCTAGGAAATGGAGGAGCTATTATTTGTACTGTCTAACTCCAGAAATTTGTTTTCTCCCATTCCGTTTGAAGGAATCCAGAAGTATCTTTTAGAATCTTCAAAAAGTCTCTTTTAATTGACCTACATACCTATTTTAAACCAGGCTTTTGGTTAAAAATTCCTTATCTGTTGGAAATTCTTCAAAAAATTAGGAATAGAATTACCATATAACCCAGCTCTTCCATTTCTGGGTATTTATCCAAGGAATACAAGACTACTTTGAAAAGATACATGTACCTCTATGTTCATTGTGGCATTATTTACAATAACCAAGATAGGGAAAAACTTAAGTGTCCATTGATAGATGAATGGATAAAGAAGCTGTGGTGAATTTATACAGAGCACTACTACTCAGCTATAAAAAAGGATGAAATTGTCCCATTTGTAATAGTATGGATGGGCCCTGAGTGTATTACATGCTAAGCAAAATAAGTCAGATAGAGAGACAATATTGTATGATTTCACTCATGTGGAATCTAACACACACACACACACACACACAAAACAAAACCATAAATGAAAAGGGTAAAACAAAACAAATTCATAGATACAAGGAATAGACTAGTGGTTCAGAGGTGAAGGGCTTTGGGCAGTGGTTGAAGTGGTTGAAGAGGGTCAACTGTGTGGCGATGAATGGTAACTAGACTGCGGGTGGTGATCACTTTGTAGCAAACACAGATGTCAAATTATAAAGAAAGATGAAACTTGTATAATACCTGAAACTTATATAATAATTAAAAAATAATAAAAAAACAGAATTCCTCATCTTTCTCTAAGTAAATCTGCATTGTCCGTAAGCATCAGTATTCAAGATAAACATGACAACACTATTTTATTCAATAGCATTATCTTTGGGCTTTAATTACACTACCTGCAGAAGTGTTTCTACTATTTTTTTCACTACAAATACATATTTTTAAAGATTCAGACTCTTGGGTAGGCTTTCCAAAAAACCCATAATTTATTTTTAAAAGTCTCAAATTCCACAACTGATTTATAAATGAACTTTTGTTACACAAGCTATTTAACTTCCTTAAAGATTATGATTAAATGTTTGACAAATGAGTTTTGAATAGTTCGGTGGAATATAGTGTATTTGGAAGGTGAACAGGTCGCTGAGGGATGTAAAGGTCAGAGGGTAAGATTTAATTACTTCTGTGTGTATGTTATACGCTATATGTTCAGGGTAAGATTTAAAGTAAAAACATTCCAAGTAAAATGTGCCTTTTATACTAGTTAATATCTGAAGAAACTCCAAACTCCACTCTAATAGTTCACTCATCATTTGCCCAATGGCAGCTACCAAGGAATCAGTCTTTTCAGAATCTTGTAATTCAGATGAGTGATTTCACTGGTAGTTTGTCTAAAATAATATTTTTAATTTAAAGAAATGAGTTATGTAGTTGATTAACATTTTAAAGCAGTTATTATCATTGTTGGTACTATACATATTGATTAAAACTAATAGTGAGTTTAATGACTTTGGGTGCAAAAGGCTTGAAAGTTAAAAGGGCAAATACTTACTTACTCTGTATTTTGTTTTTATGAACAAATTCTAAGTGACACGAATTCTAATGCATTTTCTACTTCATAAACTCCATGGGATGGGAGTGAGGAAATCACAATTCCCTGGGCCATTAGGCTCAACACTTAGTAAGCTATTAGACTGGGATACTTTTATTTATAACAGCAGGACACAAGATGTGTTGGCTAAATGAGTCCCCATAAAAGCAATCCTATAGATCTATTCTGTCTAATACAGTAGCCACTTGCCACTGTGACTATTGAGTACCTGAAGTATGGCTCCTTCTAACCAAATGTGCTATAAATATAAAAATACATTCTGGATTTCAAAGACTTAGAACCAAAAAAGAGTAGAATATATCTTCAAAAATTTTTATATCGGTTATGTGTTAAAAGTATAACATTCTGGGGTGCCTGGGTGGCTCAGTGGATTAAAGCCTCTGCCTTTGGCTCAGGTCATGATCCCAGCGTCCTGGGATTGTGCCCTATGTTGGGCTCTCTGCTCAGCAGGGAGCCTGCTTCCCTTCCTCTCTCTCTGCCTGCCTCTCTGCCTACTTGTGATCTCTGTCTTTCAAATAAATAAATAAAATCTTTAAAAAAAAAGTATAACATTCTGAATATACTGGGTTAACAAATGCATTTATTAATATTAATTCCACCTGTTTTTTTTTTTTTACTCTTAAATGTGGCTACTAGAAATTTTAAATTATGTAAGTGGCTTGCATTTTATTTCTATTGTGCAGCACTGTTATAGATAATACTGAAAGGGATTTATAGAATAAATATGAACAAAATTTATGCCATACTCTTACACAGATTCAAATTTGTACTCCATTTCACTGGAATAATAAATCAACTTAAGGATGAATTGTGATTTATGATTTGAGAAAGTATTTAACTTTATCAGGGATACACGAGTCTTAAGTTAAATCAAGCTCTTGCTAGCAAGTATTTTTTTACAGATTTATTTATTTTTGAGAGAGTATACACGCACATGTGCAAGTGGGGGGGGAGGGGCAGGTAGTGCGGGAGAGGGGGAACCCTCAAGCAGATTCCCTGTTGAGTGCAGAGCCTGACACAGGCTCAGCTCCAGGACACTGAGATTATGACCTAAGCTAAAAACAAGATTTAGATGCTTAACCGACTGAGCTACCCAGGTGCCCTAATAGCAAGTATTCTTATGGACTCACATAAGTAAGTAATAAATCTGACTTCAGACTAATTTGATTACACATAAACTACTGAATATCAATTTATATATGTCAAAATGCTATCACATATATACTCTCAATTAATTCTCAAACAATCCAGTTTTATGATAATGTTCTTGCTGAAATGATTTCGGACATTTTTTTTTTTTAATCACCAAAATAAGAGGTGTCTCACTCTCCCCATGGCCATGGTTCACTAGCAATGATTGTCCTTGATGGAATCCAAAGACATCCTTGATGTGGAAAGGCCTCCCAGGATGAGCATCTCTGGCTTCAATGCTTTCTAAAAATTTCCTTCTCTAACAGTTTTGGAAGTCCCTTTGAGCGTGAACTCTATGTCACCAAATAGACCAGGCTGATTAGGAAGTATATCTAAAAGGCAGTGTAAGCCTGGGTATGTCTTTCCTTGCCCTGTAGAGTGAATTCTGGGCAGCAAATATAACTTGAACTTTACCGACACTCTTTTTCTCTAGGCTTTTTTTTTTAACCCCCTCTGCTCATTTTGTTGTTATAACATTTATAACATGCACTGCTAATCAGTCATTTCCCATTGGTGGTGGTAATGACCGAGAATTTGGTTTTATGATCTCACCATTTGGTGATCAGAGAATTTATTAGTCTTTTTGTTTTCTTGTCTGCCTCTTTGTGAGCCCAAATCAAATAAGAAGATACTTTATGTCCATTGTAAAGGACACCAGCTCCTTGAGATCTTAAATGGTAAGTTTTTGTCTTCTGTGTTCTGTTTTGACCTGTGGCTGATATTACAGGATAGCAGCTATAAGTTCTCAATATACCGGTGTATCTGTAATTCAGAAAAGCTTTTAACTCCTGTGTGAGTGAGAAGTATTTTCCTACATCTGGAGAGTATTTAAAAAATTATTACAACCCATAAACTAAAGTGCTCTGTTCTGATTGGTTTATAGGGGTAACCAGGCACCTATTTAAATCTTAAATTCCTCAAAAATTAACAGAAATAGAAATTCTTATTCTTTAAAAGTGTTAGAGTTAAAACATTTTCTTAAGAAACATTAGCTCAGAAACATTTTTATAAAAGAATCCAAGCTCGTGTAATTAAGGTGACTTTCTGGACAAATCAGACTTATTAACTTCGGTCTAAAAAAGAAAGTTTTATGTATTTTCTTTTAGTTTATAATTACAGAGTTTATTTTTTAAATAAGATTTGGGCTTATTTTCTAATAGGCTAGTTAGATCTAAACTTTTTAAAACTACTTATACTGTTTTAAGATGATAAAAATAGAAAATTTCTGTTCAGTTAAACTGAGTCACAACTCTGACAAATCTTTTACTGTAATAACAGTAATTGTTTGTAACATATTACCTATCAGTGATTTAAAAGTTATTTAAAAGATACTCACACTGTATTTGTTTTAAGTCAATTTGTCCCCATAACAGAAAGAATGTTTGAGAAGGACCTCCAAACTAAATTAGTTAAATCAGTTAGGTAGAGGAAAAAAAAAATCTTTGGAAAATATAAAATGTGGCCTCACATACACACATTTTCATGTATTCTATTTTACCTATGTGTTTCTGAGGTAAATCAGCCTCATGAAACAGAATGGTCTAAGGTATATTTTGGTAAGGGAGAAGACATTGTTGATTGTACTGATTTATAGATTCGGTTTAACATTCTATAGTACTCCTCAGCTGCTTGTAGAAAAAAAAATTCAGACCATCTGACTCCAGTAACTGTTCTTAACTAGACTGGTTTGAAGAAAGCAAGACTAAAGACTAAAGGCAAGAAGATTTGTTAAGGGCTTTTGCAATAATCTAGATGCGAAAAATGGGAACCTAAACTAAGGAAATGCCAGAGTTAATAGAGCAAGGAGACAGATTGCAGACATACTTAGCTGGTAAAATCTAGCTGTTGCGATGTCTGACTGGATATAACAGGCTGGTAAAATAGAGAAAATATCTAGATCAGGCAACTGGGTGAGTGATCACACCATTTATTTAGATTGGAAATGCAGGAAGAACCAAAGATGAGTTCATTTTTGGAAATGGTGTACATGGCATTAGGAGGTGTTTAGGTAGAAATATCCAGTAGGCACTTTTGGAAATAAAAATAAAATAAAAATAAAAGCTGGGAGCCCAAGAAAAACGCTTGCAATGAAGACAGAAGCTGGATGGCATTAGCTTATAATTAAATGGCATAGCCCAGATAAAGAATACAGAAAAATCCTAGAGCACACAAACATCGAGGAAAAAAAAATCTGAGCATGAGACTGAGTAGGGCAGTTAGGATGACAGGAAGTGAACCAAGAGAGGATACTGTCTGAGGAGTCATGAGAAGGAAGAATTTTTTTTCAAGATTTTCTTTGTTTGAGAGAGAGAGAGAGAGAGAACACAAGTGGAGGGAATGGGAGAGGGAGAAGCAGGCTCCCAACTGAGCAGGGAGCCTGATGAGGGAGGGACTCCATCCTAGGACCCTGGGATCATGACTTGAGCCAAACGCAAACACTTAATCAACTAAGCCACCCAGGCACCTTGAGAGGGAAGAATTTTAAGAAGGAGAAAGTAAGGAATGGTGCCAAAAGCTTCAGATACATTGTGGTAAGAAATGGGAAGTTCTAGCCCCGTCACTTGTGACTTCCACAAAAACAGTTCAGTAAAGGGGTGGGTGTGGAACCTAAATCGGCGTGGCTGAAGATTGAATGGGAGGTGATAAAGCAGAGCGGAGCACAGGACAGTGCAGTTTAGTGGAGGCTGTGCTGACACGTGGCTATGAGGGAAGAGAACTGGAAAGTAACTGCAGGTTTGGCCGGGGCGCAAGGAAACATGTGTGTGTGTGTGTGTGTATGTATGTGTGCACGTATGTGTGTACCTATGGATGTATACTTGTATTTGAAAGGTCAGAGAGACTTGAATGTGTTAGGAGAAAGAGAAAGAAGTCTTCAAAACATTTAGAGACTGTTCTTAAGGCATACTGCCCAAGAAGCAAGCTGGAGAGGGCCAGGGAAGAGAGCCGGCTTGCGACCTTCGGTGAAAAAAAGAAACAGTGGACATTACGGATGCACTCCAAGAGTCTGGTTCCTTTTATAACTGGTTTAGGCTTAAGTAGCTCACAATAATCTATCTTCCTAACCCAATTTTGTAAATGAGAAAACTCATTTAAAAAAAAAAAAAGGATTCATGTTTTACTAGAGTTTGAAATCTTGTTTCTACTTCACTGGCCTCTAATCTTTGTTTAAAACAAATAACAGGTATAGTAACTTAATGAGACTCACAATTCGAACAAGCCAGGATAAGGTAGATGTTGCTGTTGAGTAGTGCGTATTATAATGGTAGGGGGGGCTTTGATCATCTTCCCATGTCTCATAACGCTCCGCATAAAACACAGCTCTCTTTGGGTTCAAAGCACCGATTGGCTGTAAGAAGAGAAAAGAAGCATTTCACTTAATACAGTTATATTAAGCATGCTATAACTCTTTATGCTAAAAGTATTTACCGTTAATTCATTTTAACCATAGAGCATACAAAATTTTGTATTATATTTTATCAAATTTGATTTTAATATTAATTATGGATCATGACGCATGCCAAAAATCTCTCAGGAAGAGAAGTCTCTGGATTTTGCGAAGTTTCTGGATTTTACTAAAAGTTTCAGTAAACTGGATTACTAGGATGATCCAGTTTAAACAGTCAAGGCAAAACCAAGACTTTTAGTGTCATTGTCCTGCCTACTTAGTAATAACCATAATGAATGTTTAGCTTGATCATAGGAAATCCAAGGAGGAGAAGGTGAAGCAGTTGACCATGTGACAACCATATTAGAGAAAACCTTCTTTTACCAGAGGGCCACCCACAGTGCGAAAGATAATAATCACCACACGGAATAATCACACCACAGTTGGAAGGCTGGTTCCATTTTGTTATTATACAAATGGCGCATACATCTTCTTTATTAAGTGAAACTACAAACCTAAGGCTGATGAAAATAATCCAGACAATTCCTAAGTTCCTAGAAAGCATTTTGTAAAGCCACTAAGACCTTCCTATCATCCCAATGATGACATTAATCCCTGGAGTGGAGCACACAGTAAAATGCTCAGGATACAATATACATAGATTTCCCCCCCCTCAAAAAAGTGTGTGTTAATTGGATCATTGACTCAAACTTCTTAGCACACCTGATCATTAAAAGAATTTCTAGCATATAGTCCTCATGATTTCAAGTAAGAAACTGTTTTAGCTTCAATTTCTTGATTTTGGTTTATGGAACATGGAGTCCATTCTCATGATACCTAATAGCTACGTTATTTTGCTTTAGAATGCATACTATTATATATAAATATTTATAGAGAAAACAAGATGAACACTAAGTATAATATAGAACTCCTTTATTCAAAATTTAATATTATTAGTTAACTATGAAGTTCCCCCCAGGGCTTAATTTTAACAAGAGAAGTAGTAGAAAATTAGTGTTTCAATGGGACAAATAATGTTACACAAGAGAGAAAGATTCATTTATAAATTGTTTGTAAGCTTTTTCTTTTGGTCCTATGGGACTAATTCAAATAACACAATGATGTCAGCAGTTAAGATCTGTTAGAATTTCCATAATAAACTCTTATTTGCAAGGGCTCTTATCTTTAATACTAAAATTATTTGTAAACTACGCTCATTTTTCTTTAACTTAATTATGACTTAACAAAGACTAAACAATTTAATTATTTTTAAAAATTTTTGAAAACGTTTGTTTAATTTAATTATTTAAAAATGTTTAAGAACTTTGGTTTAAATATACTTTTTAAATATTCTAAGGCTTACATTTTATTCTACATTAAATTTCACTGTTCATCTCTCAAATCTTTTTGCATAGATATCAAAAGGGAATATAATGTCATTAAACATCACATAGAATATTAATAACACTTAAAACAAATATATAAGTAATTTTTGGTAAAAGGATAGTTACTATAGCAGAAGGAATGTGAGCTCTTCCTGAATTGAAATAGTTTTTCATTTAAGATAGCCAACATATCTTATACTTTCTAAATGTGCAGACATCTGTTTTTCTTTCTCAATATTAAAAGACTATTTTTTCAAAGCATTTAAAATGTTTAATACTTTGTTCTCTCTTGAATAGGCTAATGGGTCTTTCACATGCATAAAATGGCTTCCAATAGGTAAGGATTGACCTTATCTGAGATTTTGTTTGTTCACACAAAAATTCTTGAAAAAGGAAAAAGTCCCTTCCTTTAATCTTTTCCAGCTTCTCACCAACTACCGGAAAAAGGATAAAGTAAATATTTACACTTTTTATTTTACTTGAATTTCATCAAAGTCATTGTTTTGGAGTGTTTGACAGAGAGTAATACTTTGTAGGAAACAGTTGCACAGTATTAAAGTATACACATGCCTACATTAGTAACTTCTTAAAATCAATTTCCAATTTTGAATTTTTATCTAATACATTTAGAAACTAATTTTGTATATAACAAGATGTAAATGATCTAGTTTGTACTTATTACTTTTCTATTATTTTGCTCTAGTAATCAGGAAACAATAAATCATCTGAAGGCAAAATGCTTGAAAATGTCTGGGAAACAAAAATATCATCACAGATGATGTATTTTCTTATGGGATCCAAACATACAATATCTATCTATTTATCTGCCCCCTGTCTACCTGTTCATCTATCATCTACCTGCCTATAGTCATCTACTTACTTGTGTATAAATTGATATGGTTGTGTTTGTTATCCTTGTAAAATTTGAGCAAATAATGCAATGTCAAAGCCATTTGGATATAGCAAACGAATAAAGTAGATATAGGATATAGCAAACGAATAACGGTGAAACAGTAAAACTCTGCCTAATAAAATGTAGAAGCTTATTTTGTAATCTTTCCATTTTTACCATAATTACCATAGTAATTATTACCAGTTTTCTCTCAAACAGTAGGCTTTTGGGAACAGCCACCTCTCTGCTTTTTAAGTGTTCCCAGATGAAAAGGTTTACCTGAAAGTTTAGAACTTGCTATTAGATGTATTATGATTTTGTTTTTGTTGGTTTGTATGCCATGACTTGACACGAAGAAATAAAATAATGCAGATAACAAGGCAAAAATTAAAAACAAAAATTCCACCTATGTAGCATTTTTATTATAACTCAGTTTCTCAAACTGTTATAAAGCCTACATAGCATTCAAAATAACTATTTTCAATATAAAACTGATGGAAAATCATACATATTAACATTACCACGTCTACATAAAACAACAGAATTTATCGAAGAATCAGTGTTGAGGATATTCTCTACTTTATTACTTAATTTCCCCTGTTTGAATATTAAAGAGAGAAATTTGTCTCCATCTTAAGTACCACAAAAAGGTTTGTTTTCCTGAAAACAAACAAACAAACAAAAAACAAAAAAAAAAACGTGTCTTTATTATATGGAACAAAGATCCTGATAGATACTCATGGAGATTTACATTATGAAAGGCTCTGAGAAATATTATAAATAGAATTAGTTAATCTTATTCACTCCAGTGTTTACCATTTTTTATTTTTACTAGATCCTCATCCTTTTTTGTTTTCATAATAATTATTAATAGGCCATAGCACTCGGGCTCCTTGAAAAGTTCCGGTTAGAATCCTTATGGTATGCATTTCTGAGTGTGAACTTTTTCTTTGATTATATTTTCCTATTTTCCTTCCTTTTCTGTTCTCTTAGTCTTGATTGATCAATACCATTCTCTTTCATGAAACCTTACAAGTTTTATCAAGTGCATTTTATGGGATAGGTATATAAATTAAAGAGGTGAAAACAACAAAAACAATTTAAATAAAAAATACTAATTGGGTAAATGGTACTTTATGAAGCATTCAAAGAACTTTAGGGAATGTGAAAGTCTGGGCACATAGCTGGATTATTTGAATAAATAAAGAAATCAAAAATAAATGTGGACTGACTTAAGGTGCAGTCACTGCCATTAAAATAGATTATAATTTTTAAGACTAAAAAAGGTTTTCAAGAGGAATCAGAGGTCCAATTAAAGTAATATTAATAAAACTGAATTCTTGTATTTAAAAAAAAACTTGAAAATGCTCATTATGTTCATGGTATTAGGATTCTACTTATATATATAAAATGTTTGTGAGCTCACTATTGCTAGTGTTCTCTGCTGCAAATGCTAATGGTACTATATACTTAAAACAGATACTGTTTTCACATCCATTTTCTGGATTTTCGTAAGTCTTGAGGTGGGCAAGGCATTCACTCTGAACCTAATTTCATGAGGAGGAAACAGGTACGTGGGTCTCTACTCTTTCCACAACACTGCATTGCCATTTCATGGCGAAGTGGGAAATTCTGATCTTGATGTCGTTTTTTTCTTCTATAACTGCCTACTTAATTCCTAAACCATCATGGATCTTCAGAAATTGGAATACACCCTACAGGCCTTGCAGGCAGTCCAACTCCCTCACAGTATAGATGAAAACAATGAAGAAACGTCCAGTCAAGATTGCACTGCTAGTCAGAGGCTCTACGTTTTGCAGAACCAGCTGAAGCTTTGTGCCAGATACAGCTGGAAGCGGGATATAGCTGATTGATCTGACTTCATCTCAATACTCTCAACACATCTGAGCTTCTAACATATTGAAGTTATCTTGTTATCTTTCATTATAATAACCAAGGGCTTGGGAATCCTGAGAAGAGGCTTCAAGAATTCTTGTCCTTTCATTTTTTTTCAGTCATGAGCTATATATATGTACCATCATTCTTAAAATTCTCAGGACAACATAGAAATCATACCCACACATGCTTCTGTGCTCAAGGAAATTCCCTGCCTCTCTTCTTATCTGACCAGGGAATTTCAATGTATTCTTTTCATAGCAGCTCAAATTTCATCTGCGAAGCCCTACATGACACTCTCTGGTAATAGGCAAATCTCTAACTTCTTTTACCAGTAGGCTAGCCCTTCAAGGCAATGGCTTTTACTCATTTCTATGTTCGGAGCACTTGATACACTACTTGGCTCTTTTCAGGTATGTAATAAATGCTGAATGAATGAAGATTGAATGATCTGATTATATAACATTAATTAATTAAGTAATCAATTTCTTGGGACGAGGGGCTGAGGGAGAAGGAGAGAGAGAACCTTAAGCAGGCTCCACACCTAGTGTGAAGCCTGAGATATGACCTGAGCCAAAATCAAGAGTTGGACACTTAACTGACTGAGCTACGTAGGTGCCCCTGATGATATAACATTTAAATTTCAATATGGAAACTTCAGACAACAATTTTAGGCAAAATCAAGACAAATAACACAGTGAAAAAAATTTACAGCATACATGATAAAGGGCTAGTTTCCTTAAAAAGTGAGCTCTTACAAATCAGTAAGAAACTAACGAATAATCTAG